TCTTCTTCCCGTGAGCACAATAATTTAGCTGTAGCTGTCGATGGAGTTGAGAACGAACTATTTCATCCAACTTGATTTGCATACCAATTTATTATTTTATATATAATTATTAGAGAATATACGAATCCGATTTAAGGAGATTAAATATACGTAGATATTAGTCACTTCCATATCATTTAATGATAGAAACAACACCTACCTACAAGTCGATTCCTAACCCAACCTTGAGGAACAATTTAGGCATTAAGAGAAGAACCCAACAACTTGGGATGAATACTTGTCGTTCTCCACCATCTTACGTTTCACCTTTTCTAATAATAATTATCTTCGATCAATAGTTTGCTGTTGCATGGAATCGTTCCTTTGAAAGCCCAAACTGAGCCCACGATGGAGATCCAGTCCAAGCCCAGACTACGGCCCCACACGGGACCTCAGTGTCTCCCGGTCGCAACTCGCTTCATTCGACCGGGAGAATCACTGTTTTCGGATGCCACCATATTGTACGTAGAAAAGAGTTCAAACTGAGCCTGGACAGTAGGTACTGACCATAACCTGCAAAAGGTCATTCGATCATCCTTCCATTGACGTTGCCGGAGATCACTGAAACAGATCAAGCATCAGTTTTCCAAGCAGCTGTTTCGATTAGTCCAATAAAAGTGTCTGCAAAGCAAATATTTTGTGGATATAAATGTTCTCAAGTACGGTAATTCATTGACCAATCGAAATGCTGGTACAGGGGGACAAACAAAAGTTGATGAAAACTTACCTCTTCTCTGGTTCTCAGACTTGTGAGCTTATACTCTACTGTTTACAAGAAGGCGAGCATCATCGAGCGAGAGAAGGAAGGAGGAGGAGGAGGAGGGAGAGGAAAGGGGGAGGGAGAAGCACAAGCGTACCGCCGCGATGGATAAAGCTGTTGCTGAGGAACAAGTTCTTCGGGGAGAGCGAGGAGAACATCTACCGCGTCGACTGCGGCCGCCGCATGTGCCCGCACTGCCTCGCCCGGCCCGGCTGTCCCCATCGTGCCCACCGACACCTCCAGATCCGCCGCTACGTTTACCAGGACGTCGTCCGCGCCCACCACAGCTGAAGCTCGTCAACCGCTCCATCGTCCAGGCAACAGCTTTTGCTTCGCCGTACATGTTCTATTCTGGACTTTATTGACTCCCCTTAATTCACCTTATTTAAATCGTTTTTATTTTTGTTATGATAACAATTCGAAAAAAATAAAAAATATAAATTAAAATTTTTTTAGCTAATTACAGAGAATCCCAGTAGCTACATTTAATAGTCGAGTTCTTATATTTTTAAAAAATTTATTTTTTTTATTTTTTATAATTATGAAAATAAAACATATAAATCTATTTATTCTAACATCGTTTATTTTATTAACAAAAATATAAAAAAAAGATAAAAATTAATTTTAATATTTCACTTGGTGATGACGGATGACGTCAGTGGACTACAGTGTTGCTGGAGCCGCAAGTGGGTATTGTGGATCATGAGAACGATGATGAGAAATTAGAGTTACTTTGCACATATGTCGATATTAATGCAGAAGTCAAGCGGTGTCACTTGGCAACTGCATCAAAACTGATGTAGAGTGAGATCACTCGATATCTACATCGACAGTCCTTTTACTGCTCGAAAATTACATCAATGCAAATATAAAGTAACGAAAGGATTACTTAGTAATTACATCGACAATGATACAGATCCAAAGTGGTCCTCACTTCTCGTTCTCGTTATCGCTCTCCTTATCAATAATAATCATTTGTGGCCTCTAGCGACGTTATCGTTTATCACCATTGATATCGTCCGTCGTCACCAACTATAATGTTAAAATTATATTTTTATTTTTATTTTTATATTTTTTACGGATAAATAAACTTAGATGTTTTATTTTCGTAACTATAAGAATGTCAATATAAATTTTTTTTTAAGTATAAGGACCAAAAAGAGATAGCTAACTAGAATAGATTATATATAATTAGCTCCTTTCTTAATAAAATAATAATAATTTATGCCAAATTACTATATATGTAATGCTGTGACAATTATGCCAAATTAGAACTTTTTCCCGCTTTATTTTTTTATCCAGCTGTCTACCGTGCGAAAGTGGTGCCCTGGAGGCCCTAGAGGCAATCAAAGCCGTCCAAGACGAGCTCTGTGAGATCTGCCGTCGATCCATGGCAGAGCCCAATCGCCACCGCTCCATCACCTGCGTGGTATTTCTACGGTAAAAATACACCACGTCTTCATATGGGCAATTGTGTCATTTCATTATGATCCGCTGATACACCGTAAGCGTAGGTGTCTGACGCGGTAGGACTCGCATCGTCGGGGCCCATCAGACGCGATCCGTCAGGGCCGTTCGTTAAAACTCGGACGGCTTGGATCTTGAGGATCTCCAGTCCGCTCCCCGCTCATTCTCCCCTCGGGACGCGAGTCGAGTGGATGTCCGCCGTTGGATCACCGAATCCCCGTGTCCGAGCGTCCTCAGGAGGAAAGCATTCCCTCGAAGGGCCCCACTTTTGTGAACCGAAACACCAATCGCTGGTATGTCGAAGCTTTGTATAGATTTATAGTAATCGGACGGTCCGTCTTCAATAACTCGACCTGCAGATTTGATTCTCTATCCGACAAGCAGGAATTGGAAGTTTGTAATAAATGGTGAAATTGGAGAAGATCCCATTGGTGGGCCGGGCTGACCGGCCCAACACCAAGAAGCCATGATCCAATAGTGTGGTACTGCGATCTAATCGATGATGCAATGTTTAATGGCTCCCATCACCATCAAAACCATGGTCACCTCTCTTCCATGCAGTTTGACCATAAGAATAGCACCAGAACACAGCTCATCTAAGCTCTTGGCTAAGCTGGGCTGTAGCTTTCTGGTCTATCAGCATCAAGCTTCTTAAAGCAAAGAAGAAAGACTTCAGATAAGCCTTTTGAGACCGCAGTCAAACCAGCTTGACCAGGCGAGTCCTAAATGAGAAGAGTGATGAGGTAATGAAACACCACATGCAAGCTCACTTCTTCTTCTTCCCCAGTCTACAAGTTAGAAGCTGGCATGAAGCCTCAAATGTTGATTGTTGGTTCAACTTGGAAGGTCAAAAGTCCTTGAGAGAGAGATCACAAGCTCCACTATTCAGAGAGCACTCAGTAGTAGTCGGTGAGGATTGCACGCTGACAAGGAGATCAGGTCATAGAACAGGTCTGTATGCAATGGAGGAAGCTTTCTTTTTCTTTTTTCCATGGTGCACTCGATGTCTCTGTGACAAAAGGCAACATCACAGCCATGTGAGGAGATCTCTTGTCCCCCAAGACACATGTTCTTGTTGTGTAGATATCTCCCTTCTCCATGATTCTGGATCGAGACAAAGAGACAATAATGTTCTTTCATTAATATGCCTCTCAAATTTGATCCACCAGTTGCCTGTAAGCATCAAACTGAAGGCATAAAACAAAGGAAGGAACAAAAAAGAATAAGAACTACAAATCAAAATATGATGTTCCTTGATTTGGTAATCGAGAAGATATAAATCTTGTCTTACAGAAGAAGTGGGACTTCATTTTCTTCCATTGTTAAGGATATGAATCAAAGGTGTAATCCTACTTTATCTTTCCTCCTTTTTGCTTATGCCAAGAAGTAAGCTGCACTACAACCACTTATAATTGGAAAGAGAAATCAAACACTATTGTATGTTCCACAATATGTCATTCCAATCATTCAATACCAGACTGAAAGCCATTCAGAGTTCTGTACATTGGGTTCTACAACTAGATCAAGTTGGCAATTATATATAATATGTTAGTCTACCTTAACATTTCATCATTTTATATCAAGATACAGTGTGATGCATGCTCACAAGATATGAAGGAATAATATTCTACCTACGAAATAAGCCTGTGGGATTGCTTGTGGATGTGAGGCTGCTATCATGTTTTAAGCATGTGACTGTTTGGATATAAGAACTAATTATATTCCATATCATATGTTTCTTGCCTGCATAATTTCCCCTTATTTTTTTTGGGGGACAAAACAACAAAAATATAAACATATAGGAAATAAAAAAGGATGGATAATATATGTGATGACAATTATAATCAACAAAAATTCGTATGAAGTAAAGAATAGCAGCCTTAGAAGGATACTAGCCGTACATGAGCAGGTGCTGGACCACGATGTGTGTTTGAGTACACTTGCGAGTGAGCAGACAGGGGAAAATCCCCATATCCCCATCATCAGGACTATTTTGGTCATCGGTGCTTCTCATTATTACCATTCTGCTGAACGTCGCTTCATGTCATATAGGGACGTAATTGTCATTTTACAGGACAGAAAAAGGCGCATAAAGGTTGGCAGGAATCGCCCGTACCGACGGGGAAATATTGAGTCCGATTGGTGGGGGTGATTGGTCCCACGTGGGACCCGCACGCATCCAAGTAAAAGCTTTTGGTGCAAGCTCCACTTCCTCTCAAGAAAAGCTAAATGACAAGAATACCCTTCGCAGGGAAGAGGTGGTAGGGGGTGTTTTAGTAATTGAGAGGAGTTATCTGGGCATATCGGTCATTATGCGTGCGCTGAAGCGAGGTACACGAGTTGGGCACCACGTACCTGTCTCGGCCGAATCACCAGACTTCGAACGACGCTGCTCCATTGGACAACGAAGACGGTCCCACAAGAGGCAGTCGTCAGTGGCGAACCGTTTTGTCTAATGCAGGTTAGCGGCGCTCGACAATAATTCCCCGAAGAAAAGGATATTGGAGTTTTAAATGACAACACTACCCTTCAATCAAGGAGATAGTCCATCGAAGGAAGCCATTGGGGTGGGATAGTTCAGTAATTTAAGACCGGTTCGATCTCTCTTAAAAGCGTGCAATCGTCAATAGTCGTCGGAAATCTTTCGGACAGCGATGGCTTTGTTTACTTTCTGACCTTTTTTCCTGCTTTCCGGTGGGCAAAAACCCTAATAACCCTAATAGCCGAGACAAAAACTCTCTCGTTTCCGTCCCCGCCATTAATGGGCGGCGGTGTACGGACGGGAGTCGCTCGTTCGGATTCTCCCTCTCCCTCCACTCTGATTGCCACTCAATCACCGGATGACGGCCACTCATTCGCGTTCGATCAGCGCCTCGAAGGTAGCTCTTGGAACCCGGAGACTTGGTAAATGCTGTTGCTGGATGACGACGAGCTAAAAGGCCTCATTTTGAATTTGAGCACAGTGGATGAGGTCGGAGAATATTTCTCAGCTGCTAATTTGGTCTTCTGATGCTGGTTTGGCGCCTAACACTCGAGGAAGAAGGGCAAAAACGGAGCTTCTCCAAGAATCGGTGGAAAAGGATTGACACTTATGATCGGTGTAAAGAGGAAAAGAAAAGGAGGAGACTTGGTACTGTTTCGGATCTCGCATCATTTCCCAGTCTGCTGACGAGTGGAAAAGAAATAAGGCGAATGGGGAACAAAGGAGGAGGCTAAGGCGACAGGAAAATGATAAAGAGATCGGTGGGCCAAACGGATGAGATTCATGGAATATAATAGTGAGATAATCCACAAAGGAAAACATTAATTTAATCGCCGGATATCCTGTGAAAATCCTGGAATTCGATTCAGTTGTTGCTTCGAGAAAGGAGGGGTTGTCTTGAATACCTCCTCGTCCCCATTCTATTGCACTCCAAACAGTTCTTTTTCTCTTCGGCTCTGCTGCTAAACCTCACCACTTGTTAATTGATATCAGAGCAGATGAGCTATCTGGATTTTTCCTCAATTCCCAAAAAAATCTACCAAAGATCTGAAGAAAAAGGTGCGTTCTTTTGTGGTTCTCTTTTCTTCTCTTTCTTCACCTCCCCTCTTTGGAATCTGTGAGCTATATTTCCTTGTATTGATCAGTTCGTAGTTGGATGAGTTAGACAATGAAGAAGAAGTCGCCAAGCTGCACTTAGTTCACTTTCCCGCAAAAGGGAAAGCAAAGGGTTTAAAAAGTTGTCTTTTATCACTTTGTACGAACGGGCTGCAGAGAAAGAAGAAGAAAAGGGAAGGCGAGGTTGGGTGTTGGCCTCTGGTGGTATGGGTTTGGGAACGGTGGCGGAAGGTGACAAGAGGTGGTGGTGGAACCGAAATGTGATCATGGTACTGTGGATGATGCTTTCAGTAGGTTTTTGCATAGGCTTACATTGTCATATGAGGACAGAAAGCTTGAGAAAGGCAGGGGAGACGCTGACGAGCATGTGCGAAGAGAGGGCAAGGATGCTGCAGGAGCAGTTTGCTGTGAGTGTCAACCATGTGCACGCTCTAGCGATCCTTGTTTCGACCTTTCACTACCAGAAAAACCCACCAGCCCTCGATCAGGTGTGTTGATATGGTTGATTTCTCATTGTTCAATTAATTTGGGTCCCAAGGTATCTGCTATGTTAGTGATGATCAAGGTTTCAACTATCAAGTATCTTTTATTATTCTTAGTTTTCATTTTGAAGTTCAACAAACATATTATTCGTAACTTGTCAATGAATTGAAGCTTCAGTCATCTCTTCTTTAAAATATTTGTTATTTACTCAGGTAAAGATGGTTGCAAATTGTGTCTCTTTATTTTCGTAACACGGTTCTTCAATTTTGTCAATCTTATTTCGGGTTCACTATTTTGGTATTTTCATTTTGTGGAATTCTGTTTTCTACTTCTGTACCTTTTCCTCCATGATTTACTCTAAACAGTCTGATCTGTGTTCTTTTATATCCTCCTATATGGTTATCCTTTTTAGATTATAGTTTAGCTGATGATTTTTGGATCTGTTGATGTTGTGCTGATTCGAATTTGCTTTCAGGTGACATTTGCGAATTACGCGGCAAGGACATCTTTTGAGCGGCCGTTGTTGAACGGAGTAGCTTATGCACAACGGGTTGTCCATGCTGAGAGAGAACTGTTTGAGAATCAGCAGGGGTGGATGATCAAGACTATGAATCGGGAGCCATCTCCTGTGCAAGATGAGTATGCGCCTGTGATTTACTCTCAGGAGACTGTATCCTACATTGAAGCCCTTGATATGATGTCTGGAGAGGTGCACTGGAACCAAGTCTGTCTAGTTTCTCATTAAACCTTTTTCAGTATTGTTCCTGCCAGTGCTTTAACATTTTCTCCGTGCAAACAATAGGAGGATCGTGAAAATATCTTAAGGGCTAGAGCTACTGGAAAAGCTGTACTTACAAGGCCCTTCAGACTTTTGGAGTCTAACCATCTGGGCGTGGTTTTAACATTCCCTGTATATTTGTCAGGTCTTCCAGATGATGCTACAGCTGAAGAGCGTGTGAAGGCAACTGCTGGGTGAGATGGGATACTTCTATTTATATCAGTGCAAATCTTTTATCATCCATTTTATGTACATTTGGACTGGCCCATTTGAAACTCGGTGACATTTTAGTTGTAAGTTTACCGAGTGAGAATAGTATATACTAGCACATAGATCTTTGAGTTAGGCAATATGACAATGAATAGCCAAAAGAGCCACACCATAGTTGGTGGTTTCTGAATTCCTTTCTGCTCAAACCATCATTTCAAGTTCAATAAGGAGATGACAAAGCTTCTCTGTATAAACACTGTTGAACATGTTCTCTGTATAAATCTTTTTAATTTCTTTATGTCGTACTCTTCAGGCTATAGTAAGAATAAATGCAGTTTACTAGTATATGCAGCAGTTAGTATTGTGGGTTGATTAGCTACTAAAATTTGTTCGTCATTTGATTGGCCAGACTTTAGATCATACACTTGCAGTTATGGTTGCTGCAGATATGCTAACACTTTTCTAATTTTTTTTCTCCTCTGAGTGCGTTTATCATGAATTCCATGTAAATATTTTTTTTGGGTAGAATTTTTATAACGTGGTCATGTAAATAGAGTAACATCCTTCTGGAAGGTGTGCTTTTGCCATATGTTCTATTTAAGAATACTCTTAGATAACTATACACTTATACAAGGTTGTCTAGGAGATTTTAGGCTTCTGATCATGTGCCATTCAACAAAGAATTAACTAAGAACCTTTGACGGATTTGGTTGCTGTATTATCATAATAATGAGAAAAGAGCCGATAAACCAAAATTCATAGTTTGCTTTTCCTGGTTGCTTTACAAAACATTTCTGTATTAGGATATTCTTTATTTCTTTTATTGTCTTGTTTTCTCGGATTTGATAACGTATGAAAAAACAGATACCTTGGAGGAGCCTTTGATGTTGAGTCTCTTGTGGAAAATCTATTGCACCAGCTTGCTGGTAATCAGGAAATTGTGGTCAATGTGTATGATGTTACAAATGCATCTGAACCCTTAACGATGTATGGAGTTCATCTTCCTGATGGGCACATGTCACTCTCACATGTCAGTATGCTTGACTTTGGAGATCCATTCAGGAAACACCAAATGAAGTGCAGGTAATGTTCTATTCATGTTTAGAGCTAGACTGCTGTTTGGGATATTCTGATTTTAGATCTTCTTACGGCTAATATCCTGAGAATCCCTTGGCAGGTACCGAAAGAAACCTCCGGTTTCACTATCATCCATCACTACACCATCTGGTATATTTGTGATTTGTATGCTGGTAGGTTACATAGGTTATGCTGCTTGGAGTCACTATGACAATGTTAAGGAAGATTTTCGTAAAATGGAAGAGTTAAAAAAGCAAGCAGAGGCTGCAGATGTTGCTAAGTCTCAGGTTGTGTTTTTGAATGTTGTAAATTTCAACATCTGCATTTAGTTCTTTTTCTTTTTTTTTTCCTGAACAAGTTCTTGTTTCGACAGTTTCTTGCTACTGTCTCTCATGAAATCAGAACACCTATGAATGGAGTTCTTGGTAGTCTCTTGTCCCTCATTCTACAAGGCAAAATTAGTTCATAGCTTACAGTAAAACCTTTATAATGTGGAAGCTGATCACCATTTGTTCTCATCACCAGGTATGCTTGATATGCTTTTGGATACAGACCTGAATTTAACTCAGATGGATTATGCACAAACTGCTCAAGTCTGTGGAAGAGCACTGATATCATTAATTAATGAAGTACTTGACCGTGCAAAAATTGAAGCTGGCAAGTTAGAAATAGAGTCGGTTCCATTTGACCTGCGATCCATCCTAGATGATGTGATATCATTATTTTCTGCAAAATCAAGAGAAAAAGGAATAGAGGTGAGTTTTAACCTCCTTTTGTCATGGCAGAAAATTAATGGCATATTCTGTTGGATGACTGCTGTAAAGATTGTGGCAGTCTATAAACTTTGGTATAGTAAGAATTTAAACATATAAATATGTTTCATCTCCTTTTCTGCTTTATTCTGCTGTAAGTGATTTGAGATGATGCTACTGCAACTTGATTCATTTTAGGTGAATTTTGTGTTTTGCATTTTGATCTTCCCTATTCTTGATGCTGTTTTGGCAAGTGCAGCTTGCCGTTTATGTTTCTGATAGAGTTCCTACCATTCTCACTGGTGATCCTGGGAGATTTCGGCAAATAATTACAAATCTTGTTGGTAACTCAGTCAAGGTGAGTACACAAACTTTTTCTTTAGGCACGAGATGTTTTCCTTTCTATTTGTTGTAGCATTTTCAGTTAGTTATTTCAGGATGAATTTTGTACCTATAGTATGTTATATCAGTTCAGGATGATAAATAGGGCCATCGTGTAGCTCATGGTCTGAAAATTCTTAGAACGAACAATAACTTGTCTATGTTTACATTAATTGAATAGGGACCTTGATCTTCTATCTCTGGTTTGTCCCAGTTTACAGAGCGTGGTCACGTTTTTGTCCAAGTTCATCTCGCTGAGCATGTGAAAATGGTGATAGATGCAAAAACAGGTTTAAATGGGCATGCCAATGAAGTGAACATTACATCAGCAACTACTGTGTTTAGTACATTAAGTGGTCTAGAAGTTGCTAATTCTAGAAATACATGTGAAAGCTTTAAGATGCTACTCTCACACGGGGCATCTCTGTCCTGCACATTTGGAAGTGGGTCTGTTCCTGAAAGCATTGCTGATAAAGTAACTCTGATGGTTAGTGTTGAAGATACAGGGATCGGGATCCCAGTACATGCTCAAGATCGGGTTTTCGCACCTTTTATGCAGGCTGATAGCTCAACTTCCCGGAATTATGGTGGAACTGGTATTGGCTTGAGCATCAGTAAGTGTCTGGTTGAACTGATGGGTGGGAAAATGAACTTTACTAGTCGACCTCATGTTGGAAGCACATTCACATTCACTGCGGTCCTCCAGAAATGTGGAAAAAGTTCTGGTGTTGATACAAAGAGATCTCTTTCTGAAGTATTGCCTACCTGTTTTAGAGGAATGAGGGCAATCTTAGTTGACAGACAACCGGTTAGAGCTGCTGTGACAAAATACCATCTGCGAAGGTTGGGCATAATCACTGAAGATGTCAGGACTATCAATGAGGCACTTCATACACTCTCTGGACAAAATGGTTATTTAAATTCTAGGTGAGCCTTGTATGTGGGTATCTTCCTTTCTTAATGTGATTATACATGTCCATTTTGGTAGCTGGTATCTTCAAAACTATTAAGTTGCATATTGGACTTATAATTTTCCCGGCATAAGCACAAAAGTCACTTCTTGTGTACCATTTGAAGTCCACACTTCATGTCTGAACAACAGTTTAAGTGGCATCCATTGAGATATAATTTTATTTGTTTTTATTAAAAAAATTGAAAAGCTATATTTATCCAAAAAAATGCATTTCATTTTCATGATAGCTTCTTATCATATTTTTCTCCCTGTAAGCTTTAGCCATCAGATCCAGTTGTTTTACTAGGTTAGCTTTGACCAATGTAAATTTACTTTGGTAATTGCATATTAAGATTTTGATGCTGGAACTAATAACAGTGATGTTTCTCTGTGCCCAGTTATTTATTCTCACTGTGACTTATGCTATTAGAGTTTCTCACTGTTATTTTTTGCTGCTACTGCAGTCAACCTGGAAAACAACCATCCATATTCTTGATTGAAAAAGATTCATGGGATCCCAAAATCGATTTTCATATTCGGAATCAACTCTTACAAAGGAAAGAGGCTGGTCACATAGAAGATGTACCGAAGGTTGTTCTTTTCCTGACCACTGAATCTGATAAAACAAGAGCTGGATCTCATGCAGACAGTATAATCGTGAAGCCTCTTCGTGCAAGCACTATAGCAACATGCTTTCAGCAGATGCTAGGGATGGGAAAATGTCAAAATAAAGATATAGTTAATAATTCAGCTTCCCTTCGTGGCTTGTTGGATGGAAAGAATATATTGGTGGTTGATGATAATAAGGTAAATCTGAGAGTTGCTGCTGCTGCACTGAAAAAGTATGGCGCCAAGGTCGAGTGTGTTGAAAGTGGCAAAAGTGCTCTTTCCTTGCTCCAACCCCCACACAAGTTTGATGCTTGCTTCATGGATGTGCAGATGCCAGAGATGGATGGGTATGTATATTAGCATAATTCTGTTAATAAATCTGCATGGTGGCAAAAGTTTCTTATTCTACTGATGAAACTTCATATTTATGATAAATAAGTTAGCTATGCACCTAAGCAAAAAATCATACTTATTTTGCCGCTCAAAATGCTATATTGCATATAGGGGTTCACTCTGGATCAGGATTTCCCATCCTCTAGGGTGGCAACTCAGGCAGGGGGTTTAGGGTGGAGGTACCCAGGCCAACTCAACCTAAAGCTCGAGCTGCTGCTCTCAAAGCTTTAACCTCCTGTGTTGTAACCGCTCTGGACTAGGTCACCTCTCTGGTCTATTAGGAAGTCGTCGACTTGTCGTAAAAGAACATCTACCTAAGCTTCGGACTTGAAGGAAACCTGTATCCATCAGTCATCACTTAAAGACAAGGCGAACCATGAACAATTTGTTCTTTTTGCCAGGTTTGAGGCAACACGGCAGATACGCATAATGGAGAGCACGGCATATAAAGAAGCTTCCCCAGACGACGGTTCGGTGATGGCTATAAGGCACCTACCTATCCTAGCAATGACTGCTGATGTTATCCAAGCAACATATGAGGAGTGTGTGAAATGCGGAATGGATGGGTATGTCTCCAAGCCCTTTGAGGAAGCTCAGCTTTATCAAGCAGTTGCCAAATTTGTAGTTTCGCAACAAATTCCTGGCTCTTCATAGCATTTACAGGAGCACATGCTCTACATCCAAGGAATCCAATTCTGGAAACTGGCACATGAACTAGTTCTTTCCTGAGCGACCTTTCGGAAATTGACAGGCTGTTGAGAAGTTCTCTCTTAGGGATTCGAAGCGGCAACTTGGTTTTAAGATTTAATCTTCCTCCACGATCATCCGTCTTTATAACTTCCGACTAGGCTGTAGTAAATCTGAAACTAGCAGCATCAAAGGTTTAAACACTGAGCTAGGGTTACAGTATAGTCATTATTCATGTAATCTAGATGATATGTGGCAATGTGAAATATTTGATACCATGCCATTTCAGTGTAAATTGTAGTTGTTCATGCTGATTCTTTAATCAAGAACTCTAGTGAGCATAATTTTTATCTGTAAGCTGTCTGGCAAGTACATTAAATGATTTACTCAATGCCAGGTGGGATTTGAAGTTTGTGAACTTGGGAAGATCCTATCTTGGCATGCTCAAAATAATAGCACTCATTTATTATCCAACATAAATGCCCACATTTGGCACAAGGAAATGCTCTCTTGTTGTCTTTAAATTTTATGGAAATTCAGGATGCCAATAATGTCATCAATGATAATATTGGATGAAAAAAATATTTTTATGGGCATGAATAGTTAATTTTTAATATAAATAAAATATTTATATTGTTGAGATAACAACATTGATATGGATGTATAGAATTATCAGAAAGAATAAAGAAAATAATTATTCTTGAACAATTAGGATTTTAAGAAGTTGTACATATACTATGATCAGAAGAAAAGATAAAATAATTATTATTGACACAACCAAAAGAGATCTAAAAATAATTACTAAAAATTATAAATTAAAAATTAAAACTTTTAACTTAAATAGGAATATGACTTCTTATGTATCTTAATAACGACAAAAGATCTATGATCGTAAATAGTGTGAATTTTAAGATCATATTGTTGTTGATGTTGTAATGCATAGAATTGTTGTGTTTTTATACGTTATATATAATTATTAATTCAAGCTCATCTTCATCACATAATTCGACTTAAACGGATCGGGTACATCCTCCACTAACCCGACAAATCCAATGCTACTGCTATTGCCACTACATCGTCCCACAAAAGCCGGGTAGGGAGAAGCGGACACCCGTTGCTTTGGAGGTCGGAGCGCCGCACGAAGCGGACCTCCGCCCGCTGCGACGCCTTCTCCCGTATAAAACCCGACCGCGCTGCCGCCGAGAAGAAGAAATAATAGAGGGGAGAAGAAGACAGATCCATCTCTCCCATTCCCTTCAGTCTTCTTCTCCCTCTCCTTCCCCTGCCGAATAGTCTTTCATTAGTGCTGGTACTCATCTCATCTTCTCGTTCATTTTGGAGTCTTTTGGAGATGAATTACTGCGTAGAGATAATTTGCATCTCTCGTCCATGTCAAGAACATGATTTTGCATGGATTTCTGTGAGCAAACATGCAGGTTTCGTAAAATGTCAGGATGAGAAAATGTAATCAGCATGCAGATTGATTGTCTGTATTGCGAATGTTAGACATTTTATGCTATACGATATGGAGAAAACTAAGTTAATCATTGGGTCTCTATATATTTTCTGCATCATTACTAATACAGGAAGTCTTCTTCTTCCTTTGGCAGAGATAGAGCATGGCAGAGGGTGAGGATATCCAACCTCTTGTGTGTGACAATGGAACTGGCATGGTTAAGGTACTTTATGTGTACTGCTACGCCACCACCACCACCACCACTGGGATTGACATTACAATGGCCTTCTTCTCTTGCTTTAGGCTGGGTTTGCCGGTGATGACGCTCCCAGGGCTGTCTTCCCCAGCATCGTCGGCCGCCCACGCCACACCGGCGTCATGGTGGGCATGGGCCAGAAGGACGCTTACGTCGGCGACGAGGCTCAGTCGAAGCGGGGGATTCTGACCCTCAAGTACCCCATCGAGCATGGCATCGTCAACAACTGGGACGACATGGAGAAGATTTGGCATCACACCTTCTTCAACGAGCTCCGCGTCGTCCCGGAGGAGCACCCCGTCCTCCTCACGGAGGCGCCCCTCAACCCCAAGGCCAACCGCGAGAAGATGACCCAGATCATGTTCGAGACCTTCAACGCCCCCGCCATGTACGTGGCCATCCAAGCTGTTCTCTCCCTCTACGCCAGCGGGAGAACCACTGGTACGCGGTCGGACTCCCTTGCCCACGGTCGTTGTCATCGTCATGGCCGCGACAGTACTGATTCGTGCCTCGTGCGTGCAGGCATCGTGCTCGACTCCGGGGATGGTGTTAGCCATACGGTCCCGATCTACGAAGGCTACGCCCTGCCGCATGCGATTCTGCGGCTGGACTTGGCGGGGCGCGACCTCACCGACAACCTCATGAAGATCCTGACGGAGCGCGGCTACTCCTTCACCACCACGGCCGAGCGCGAGATCGTGAGGGACATGAAGGAGAAGCTGGCGTACATCGCGCTCGACTACCAGCAAGAGATGGAGGCCGCCAAGACCGCCTCGGCCGTGGAGAAGACGTACGAGCTTCCCGACGGGCAGGTGATCACCATCGGCGCCGAGCGGTTCCGCTGCCCGGAGGTCCTCTTCCAGCCATCGATGATCGGGATGGAGGCCGCCGGCATCCACGAGACCACGTACAACTCCATCATGAAGTGCGACGTGGACATCAGGAAGGACCTGTACGGCAACATCGTCCTCAGCGGAGGATCCACCATGTTCCCCGGCATCGCGGACAGGATGAGCAAGGAGATCACGGCGCTGGCGCCCAGCAGCATGAAGATAAAGGTGGTGGCGCCCCCGGAGAGGAAGTACAGCGTCTGGATCGGCGGCTCCATCTTGGCTTCTCTCAGCACCTTCCAACAGGTGATCTAACCATCCTCGATTCTCAACCACCAATTCATGCACACGTACTGCCCGATTTGGTCATTGACAGCAGAACTTGGTTGCAGATGTGGATTGCCAAGGCAGAGTACGACGAGTCTGGTCCATCGATCGTGCACAGGAAATGCTTCTGATCGCTTCGAGACCAGGAGATTGGTCGACAGAGATCCACACCGTCATGCTTTGCTTTGCTTTCCTTTCTTGATCATATTGTCTTTAGCAGAGGGATGAAGGTGTTCTCTGAGGGACAGCCCATCGATGGCTGCGGCATTAAATCGGATCAAACATGTTCTTCTGGTTCTCGACATCATCTATAACTTGTGTTGGAGAATTTGCTGCGTTTGGCTTCTTCTGAGGCTGCCATTTTGCTTATGATTCCTTCACTGCAAGCAACAAACATGTCTTCTTCATATCATTGTAGAAGATCATGAAAAAGACAATCTAATGCACAAGAATAACAATTCATGCAATCTTACTCTTACAAATAAAGAAAAGATCTTTGTAATAAACCATAAAAAGACAATAAAATCAATAGGAAGTTAATGACAGTTGGAGACTTGCCGTGGGAGTCTTCACCATTATACCTACATCCATCAGGGCCCTGATATCTTACCCAACTGTTTGCTGCCATCTCCAAATCCCAAGGCAAAAGTTGTTTTAGGTGACCCGATACGAAGTTTTCGGTTCTGCGACATATCAGCGAACAAGTGATGCGCGTAGCAGTTTGTGAAACCCGGCAAAGGTCAGCCCGGCCGCCGCCTGGTCTTCTGGTACAGCCCACAGCTTCCGTTGCTTTCCACAACCGCTCATGGATTTCCTTTGCAGGCATTGATTGATTGATATCATTGAATTCCCATCCTCTTCCAATTTATGTCTAAAGAAGCCGTGAATGATTGCTGTCATGCCCATGTGATCTTCCTGATCTCTGCAGGCTTTGATATGTATACTCCGATGAAGATACTCCTTATCATTCCACCAGTCGCATCGCGAGTGACGCCGCCCCCCGTCACCTTCATTGCCTCCCTCCCATCTGAGTGGGTCGGTCATCTGACAACTCTACTAAAATTTTAGTTTTTAGATAATTTTTTGTTTTTTTAATGAAAAAGTTGGACATAGTTATTAGATCATAAAGTACTATTGATTTATTATTTTCATAGTTATTAGATCATTTTTACTTTTGAGTGATGAAACAAGAGGTAAGTTAAAATTTTTATTTCTTGTAGATAACTCTTTATAATTTTTTTCTCATTTTTTCTTTCATGACAAAACTCAATTATTAATGTAATATTAATATATTTTATTGTATACAACATATCTAATTTATTAGTGATTTATTATTTTTTATAATAATTTTTTTTATTTTTATTGAATCCTAAAGGTTATTGAATATATGAAAGATTTTCATCCTTCATTTTAATTAAATTTAATTCTCTTAACACTTCTTTTCCCTCTTTTCTCCTTCATCTACTCATCATTCTTCGTTGGCACTATTGATGGATCAACCCTCTCGTTACGTTGCTTTGTCACCGAATACTCAATTCAGAGTATGATGGATCAACCCTCTCGTTACGCTCACCCGAACCTCTTCCTTTATGACGAAAATGAGAACCAGACTGATAGGATATGACCTCTTTATGATAGTGTAACATCTTTTTTCATAGAAATCGAAGTGTTATAATTATTTTCACCAATATAATTATGAGAGAGATTTTCATTATTTTTTTAATTAAATATAATTCTCTTAGCACTTTTTTGTCCTCTCTGCCGTTTGTCATCGCTATCGACGGATCAAACCCATTGTCGCGCTGCTGTGTCACCGACATGAGTATGACGTCACAGCTGTGCTGAATCTCTGACCTCTTTGACCAGAACAAGACCGGCGGGATACACTGCTGGCGTCAGCAAAACTCGATGTGGCAGACGTGGCAGAGGACCCACAATAATCGATTATAAGAACTTGGTGAACCTTGCTTGAGGCCTAACAGATGATCCCCATGATCTGAGTCGAATACGTGTCCCGTCCTTATGGGCACAACGTCGTGCCAAGTTGGCAGGGTACGTGACGTGGGCCAGCGTCGGGTCCCCCCGCACTACAAAAGCTTATCTCACTGGATTCCACTGCCCTTCTTTGTCCATTTCCAATCATTAGGATCACTCTCTAGATTCGATTGGCCACCCGTGCCCGTTCTTCCCGTCGTTGTATATACCCTACTCCTCCTTGATCACTCGCTGTCCTTCGTGTAGCTGTCCTCCATCGACCACGGCCATGGCCAGCTTCTCCTGCAAGATCATGGCTTTGGCTCTCGTTCTCTCCCTCGTTTCTTCCTCTGCGGAGCTCCAGAAGCTGGAGCACTCGATCAAGAACGATGGATCTCTCAGCCTGTTGGTAATCGGCGACTGGGGAAGAAAAGGGGAGTTCAATCAAACTCAAGTGGCAACTCAGGTTGGCTGCCATATCTCTCTTGATGCGCAACTCTCTTCCTTCTCATTCCCGGGACGTGTAGATTCCCACTCTCTTCGAGTTCATTGGTCGCAGATGGGAAGGATCGGGGAGGAGCTCGACATAGATTTCGTGGTATCCACCGGCGACAACTTCTACGACAGCGGCCTGACCGGCGTCGACGACAAGGCATTCGAGGAATCATTCACCAATGTGTACACAGCAAAGAGCCTACAGAAGCAATGGTACAGCGGTATGTTCCTCGTTCATCTTCTTCTGTGTTCGTCAACACTTTGGGTGACTATCTAATAAAACAGGTCTCTCTCTCTCTCTAGTTTTGGGGAATCATGATTACAGGGGCGATGTGCTGGCACAACTGAGCCCTGTCCTCCGAGAACTCGATAACAGATGGCTCTGCTTGAGATCCTTCATCCTTAACGCAGGTGCAGAAATGTCTATGAAGGAAGCACAAGCTTATGTAGAATTGTAGATATCACTTCATCTTTTACTTCTTTTGCCTTCTGAACACTAGAAATTGTGGACTTCTTCTTTGTGGATACAACTCCCTTTGTCGATCATTACTGGAACAATCCCGAGAGCCATCACTACGACTGGAGGGAAGTCGCCCCGCGCCAAACTTACATCTCGAATCTGTTGAAGGTACAAAATTCATCTGTGTCATAATCCTTCGTGTATCAGCTCAAGCAAAGATGCAAAAGAACGTAGAATTATAATCATGTTTAACACTGCATGAAAGTTCTGTCCCATGAGGTGTTCTATTGTGTCATTAGGATTTGGATTCAGCACTGAAGGAATCAAGAGCAACATGGAAGTTTGTAGTAGGACACCACACAATAAGGAGTGTGAGCATACATAGAGATACAAAGGAGCTCCTCTCATCACTCCTCCCAATTCTTAAGGTGATTTAGCTCAAAGAGATGCTAAAGTTTTGAGATCGGAACTCAAGATATATACTGATGCTACCAAAATTTCTCAGGCTCATGGAGTTGATCTGTATGTAAATGGACATGACCACTGCCTCGAGCACATTAGCAGTAATGACAGGTACAGGATTTAGTGTCTTCTCCTCCACATGAAGATATATGACAAGGATTGTTTCAAGAGACCTAACAGTCTATCCCTCATTGGTAGTCCAATCCAATACCTAACCAGTGGAGGTGGTTCAAAGTCATGGAGGGGTGTCTTCAATTCGAATACCGACAAACTTCGATTCTTCTACGATGGCCAAGGGTTCATGTCCCTGCAGCTGACCAAGACCATGGCTCAGGTGGTGTTCTATGATGCATTTGGCAGTGTTCTTCACAAATGGAGTGTGACCAAAGAGCTTCATAGCTCAATGTAGGAGGGAAGAACCCTGATTGTGCCACAATCCTCAAACTATTAGTTGTATCAAGATTCAACTATGATATTTACTACGATTGGTCAGTTTCAGATGACTTCTACATGGATGCTAGCCAACTGTTTGTTGTCTGAGAATCTGAAACTTAGTAAATCCTATCATTGTTCCTATATGCATATGCTGGCAATGTGATTTCTTCTCTCTGTGGCAAAAGTCAAATATGATATTTGTTTAGACTTCAATATGAAGTTTTGGAAAAAAGAAACCTACTGCCAGAAACTAAACAATTTGTAACTGATCAAGAAATATCAGAGCTAAAAAGATGAGATAGATCTAAAGGTTAGAGAACACTACAAGTAAAGTTTCATCCCTATGATCTTTGCAGGGAAAAATAGTGTTAGGCATGATTCTTCGCCAGGTCACTTCCATTGTCATGTCTACTGTCAGTGTGATCTAAAGCTCAGTTTTTCTCTCCTTTGTACATCTTTCAAGCTCTCTCAGTTTCTTTGTGTTGATCCACTTCCTTACTCAGCATTTTGATTTTCATATTAAGTGTATCCACCAGCAAAACTGATTCTTGGAATGATTGTTCACAAACTGTCACAAGTTTTCGTTTGTGATAAGATTTTAGCACTAGACAAATATATCTAGTCAAAATCTTCAAATCCATCTGTACCGTCCAATACATTTATCTTAGACAAATATATCAGGATCTTTGCATCTTAAGATCAATGTTTGATAGGATGATCTTATCAATCCTCAAACTATACTGAAGGCTTACAGAATCAGATCTAATGCCATATCTGTAAATGTGCTGATGCTACCCAAACGCAAGTTCTCAATGAACATCTACAGAAGTTTGGAGTGCAAAGAGTGACATATTTATGCCATAAAATTGCACAAACAATTAGATGAGCTGAAGTTTTCATTTTTGTGATTACATACTAAAAACGACCGGAAACTCAATCACAAGAAACCAAGAGCCAGAGAGAGAGAGATTTCAGAAGAAAAAACAAAAGACTTGATAAATTTATTTATTGAAAGACTTAAAACACAAAGAGTAGGTATGTCCCAGACAAGCAATATGAAGATAATATTTGGTATATCCCAGACAAATGATAAGAAACTGTTTATTGAATAATACGTAAGCTAAACTTTCGTATCCATGAATTACCTCAAATGCTCAAGGATTAGCACCATGATTTTGCTACTGTCTTGAAGCAGAATCACCAGGCTGTGTCATTCCAGTACTTCTGTTTTCTGTAGCCATTGCAAGAAAAGTAATCCTACACATCATTGCTGAAGTAGACTCCATTCCTGGTCCAAAAGTGTTACCAGGAATGATGGAAGATGCCATATGATCATTCCCCTGCATCTTGAAATAACAGAATCATGAGAATTTGTTCTTGACAGAAAGGATCATATTATATCCATCTGCATGTGAAGCACAATGTAGAACTAGATTGAGGCTAGTAACTAGTAATTAATATACATTATTTGATGAAACACAAATTCAAAGCATAATTTTACCTGCTTTACTTTCTGCAATATTATCCCTTGGCGTTTAAACATTTAATATTAAGTTGATTCTACTTAAGAGTATAATATCATACAAAACAAAAGTAAAGAATGAACTACTAAAGCTAATCAAATTAGCCAGAGCAATCTCCAAATTTGGTAGAGGTAATTCTTCCCACTAGAGAGCATACATGAAATCTAACAAAAATGCCAAAAACAAATAAGGTAAATAGAATTCCTAAATTTTGAATGAATAGCCTGTCAACTCATCTATCGATTGTCTAGTGCAACTTACTCTTCCTGTGGCTGTTTCAGGTGCTGGCAGCAGTTCTTGAACAAATGAACCCATTTTCATGATTAGAAGTTCTCGAGTTATTATATCCCTCTGTCAAAGAAACCAGTATCTCCCTTAAAAAAAGGAAAAAAGAAAAGGCTAATTCAAATTTCAACCCAAAATTCTCGTGACATACCTTAAACTCCATAAGATAATGAAGAAACAATCTCCTAGCCCAAGGAGCTATCCTCTCATGGAGTTCTACATACAGCAGTGCAAAAGGTTCTAATGACCCCGCTAATTCATACCAAGCCTGCATAAGTGGTAAGTAAAACACGAACTAACAAAATAACCTAATAACCTTTTGTCACAAGAGAACAGTCTAAAAGAGAACAAAAAGCAAACTAGAAAGTATCTGAGCTACACATTATAAATTTTATATTGACACAAGGGTTAAAGAGAGAGAATTGCTCAGTCAAACCTTGTGATCTTCCACATGGAACCTTATATCCTTTAGTCCACACAAGTACTCTGAAGAGATGGAAATAAGCAGATAAGCACATGAATTATAGGAATGCTTATGAAATGTGTTAAGAGTCCAGTTGCATCACAGTACCCTTGTTTCTTGAGGGCAGTGCAAAACGGACCATGTACTCTGGGTAGATATATTTGTCCAGATGTGTAGACCACACAATGTAACACTTTGGATTTAGAACATTGTCAACACCCATATCATATTTCTTTCTAGGGCAGTATTGCTTTGATCCTGGCCGGACTTGCTCTACATTCCCCATGATAACCCGGCAAAGCAGCATATGTTGTACTCCACTTCCCACTTCACAGAGTCTAATGCTGGATTTACAGAAAGCAAGAAATAACAGAAAATTCAGATCAGAAGAACATCTTGCATTAATAACTAGCCCATGGCCACAGTTAATTTAAAAAATAAATAGTACGATATACAACAGGATTGAGACAGAAATACTTTGAAACTATCAAATGTTTGGCATTTTAGGATTATCATAAACCATTAAACATGATATAGTGCACCTAAAATGTCTAGAAACCAAAATTTAACTCTTCCCATATTTTGTATTTTCAACGAGAAAAGTTCCACGGTAAATAGTGTAGAACATACTCTAAACCAGTGTTTGCCGTACCGAAGCATACCGCCCGGTACGGGCGGTACGTACCGGTCCGCTGGGTACTCGGTACGCGGACCGCCCGGTACCGCTACAGTAATACACTGTAGCACTGTTATAGTATTACAGTAATATACTGTAGCACTGCTACAGTGTTACAGTAATACACTGTGGCACTGCTACAGTATCGGTACACCAGGGTGTACCGCTCGGTACGCCCTAGTGTACCGCCCGGTACACCGGTACCGTACCGTACCGAGCCCGGATCGAAACTCCGGTACGGTACGATATGGCGAACCTTGCTCTAAACCATGGTATGCAATTTCGAATGGTACCACCTGGGACGGGCGGTATGTACCAGTCTGACGACATACCGGTACGTAGACCGTTTGTTACCGGACGAATCGTGCTATAGTGCTATAGTGTACACTGTAGCAATGCTACAGTGCTACAGTAGAGAGAAAAAAATATTTAAAATCACTCGATAAGCCTTGGTGTATCGCTCGGTACACCCTGCTCGGTACGTCAGTACCATACCGTACCGAGCCAACCTCGAAACACCGGTACGATACGGTATTGCACACCTTGCTCTAAACAATGCAATTTGAATTTTTCAAGATGTTGATGTTTATCTAAACAGTTAAGCAGATATGATATCATATACTAAACTTGTTTGTACAATTTGAAAACCAAATGTTTAAGAAAAAAATATTGGATCATGAAATACAGAGTAATGCCAAGTTTTAGTTTCTAGGCACTTTGATTGCAACTGGATCACATCCAATGGTATTGATTATAATGCTTTCAAGGACAATCTACTAGATGCAGGATATCTTTGGACGTATTTTACCTCTATGGTACACTATATGCATGGCAGATGAGACAGAGATATCTTAAATTTATCAATAGAGACGTATCTTGAATTTATCTATAGATGTGCATTACATCGGTGTGTGTGCGTGTGGTTGAGCTTATATAATAATATGTATGGCATTTGATTTTTGCTCCAACACTACACTTAACTAATCAACAATGCCATTTTGGATGATAATTGGGTGATGTATGTGATTCTTTTTTTGCTTGAGCACTATCTTTGATTAATCAAAAATATCCATTTTGAATGACAATTGGGTGATCTACATGGTAAACTATTTCCACATGGTGCGAGATTTGATAATTAGGGAAAAAGATGTTTGGCCAACTCATAATATTTCAAATCTAAGCCAATTGACCATAGAGGTCCCTTTACAGTTACATTCACTGTGATCTGATGTTAACAGTTGGTTGCAGCCTACTCCTGGGATACTGCAGCATATTCAATATCCAGTTGGAATTTTCACTCTTGGGTAACAGAAGGAGACAACAATATAAAATGAATGAAAACGATACTAACATTAATAATCAATTCAGTGCTCTATGGGTTCATTATTGCAGTATGCTTACCAATAAGTTCCAATAGAAGGAAATATAGTTTGAGCTAAAGATGAAGATGATCTGATCTCTTTAAATGTTGCATAGTATATTACTTGCTAAAAAGGGTCTCGGTATCAGAAACAAAAATCACAGTATTAGAATGTCATTATAGCTTGATGAAACAATACAAATTATGAAGAGCACCTGGCAAAAGCACGATCCTGAGGTGTCAAATAGATGCCAGTGCCTAGAACTCCTACTTCACTGAGCCTCCCACTGTGGCCAAAACCATTTATAAGAGCTTCGGTTATGCGGTTGTCTGTTGAGCCATACCATCCATACTTCACATTTGCATTCCCACGTTCCCTAGCAGTGAACTCTATTTGTCTCTCAAAGGCTTCCAGCCTATGTCGACCATTGCACGCATAGATATCTAATATGCTAGCAGGTGTTGCAAATGGCCCCATTCCTGATAAAAATGTTTCCTGAACAGCAAGAAAACTTGCACTGCTTCTTTGAAGTCTAGACACAACTGGATATAGAAAAGGCTGTTGTGAGATTGGAACTTCATTTTCTGCAAGTTGTAAACTGCTTGCACTTTGTATCCCACACCCACAGGCCAAGATCCAGGCATCAAATTCGGTTGGAGGAATGCCCTCCTGCAGAAGAGCCATATAAGGTAAAAAGGACTTGCCAGCTTCGTCCATCCATGCCACTGACTGCATCTTCCGAATTCTGATATTTATCAGGACCATTGAGGAGAAATCAATTAAGAGAAATAGCTCCTTGTTCACATATAAATTTACAGAGGATCTTCCCTCTCTGAATCCTTTAATGAAAGGCCGTGATAATGCCTCAGGGAGTTCTAACCAGCCATCCTCTTCAAATATCGTGATGTGCCTTGGAACACCTGAGTGGACATAATTAAAGTAATTGTCAGCCCTGGTATGGCTAAGCAGGTGGTGACCATGCGGTATCGTATATTCTTTGTGAAGTTGAGCAACTTTATCTGGCCTAGGATTAGCCGAATCCATCGATAGAACTGTCAAACCCCAAGAGAACATACATATTTCAGGAGCATCCAACACCAACAACAAGCTCTCGGACTGGTGTCCAAGCTAGACAAAATTCAGAAGCATAATATCTATAAAAAAAATAACATCAAAAGCTATAAGAAATAGCTATAGACACAATTAAAATACACTCAGAGTCCCTCTTTTTAGCCTCATTCCAGTCAAAGACAAATGAAATAAAACAACATAAGCAAAAGAAGATGCATTCTTTGAAAACAAAGTATTAGAAGGTTTTATTATAATTTCCCATTGTTCTTACACTAGTTAAAAAGATATTATTAGGTAGTTTTTTCAAAGTTGTATGCAAAAGAATATTTGATCATGATGGGTTTGGGAGCCAAGACGAAGACCTTTCCCCTCTTCTAATGCAAAGAAGAGGACCATTTCAAGATTACATGAGAATTTATCCATGAGCAGCCAATACCACAGCACACACACGGAATTGGTAGGATCCAAAAAAGAAGGAAAAAGGGGCGTCAGAATGTAATTTAAGCACAAGAACTCTCTTTCACCAACTTTCTTTAAGAGGGCATCATCAGTCAGGGTTCTTGATGTTAAGTTCAGGAATAACTTAAGTGAGCAAGAACCTTTCTTCGATCATTCCCGCACATTGAATCAATGAGGGATATCATCAAGCAGGATTCTTGAGATTACGCGCAGAGAATACTACAAGAAAGCCTAGTCCCACATTATTTTCATGAATAAGAACGACCGAAATACGATGGCAGACAAAACAACAGCCTTCATCTTTCTTCCACCAAGTTCATCATTTTCCTGATCCTTTAACTCGAAGTCTCAATCATACCACTCGATGTCAGCGGAAATCACCAAAAGGATCACGTAAAAGAACTGAAAAAGGACGACTTTGATAGATAAGAGAACAGGAGGAGGACTGGAGACGCACCTCCGGCCAAGGTCATGGAGGACGAACCCAAGGTGAAACCGAGAGCCTGTTGACGTGTTATCGAGGCGAGGAGGGTGGTGGTAAATAAGGGGGAAGCATGTCGATCCATGGAGATACGGTGGGCATGTGTCTGATGCAACAGAGAGGGAGTGAAGCCAAGCCATCATTACCTTCCAAACAGTGGCCTCTTCTATTTGATGAGGGTGGCGAGGTGGTGAAGATGGATGGAACAGAAGACTGGGCTTCCATGGGCCACAATCTGGGCTTTACAGGACCCAAATCCATCTCCAAGAATCACTCGTTATTCTTCTTCAAATAAATTACATCCCATGAAATTGAAATGATACAAAAAAAAAGATTAAATAAATAAATAAATTTCATGGATTGCATCAATAAAATAGATTCGCTATAATTAATTAGTCCATAAGTATTATTAGTATTTAATTTCATCCCTCAATTATTTTATTTTATTATCATCTTCTACATCTAATTTGGTGCTAACATTGATTTCTCTAAACTTAATTTGACCCACATGGCTAACTTTGCATCAAATTCTAGCTTATTGACGTAGATTGGACCTATTTTAATTTTCTAAAATAATCAAAATATCTTTAATCTTTTTTATAATAAATATTATATCATTAAAAATTTATTTGATTGTAGTTATTTAATATAGGGTGAATTTCTTTGAAAAACTCCTCTTTTTATATTTTTCTATGAAGGTGTCTATAATTTTTACTTTTCTCATTCCTTTTGTGAACTATATTTTATGTAATGCCTCTAATTATCGCTTATCTCCTTTATCTTGTCGTCTTTTGTCATCCACCATGTCAATTGTTAGATTCTCCTTATACACTAAGGTCATCGATGAAGGGAAAGAGACCCGAGAGGAAGGAAGCAACCATAGTTAGGCTTCTCCTTCAACGAGGCTCAAGTCAACGAGATTACGAACGAAAGCCCTAAGCATCCCTTTGTTTTCACGCTCCTCTTCAAAGACCCTCATCTTATTTCCTCTTGTGTTGCTAATAATCATCTTATCTCCCTTCTCCCGACCCTTTCTAATTTCTGTATCTCTTTCTTAGTTTTAACATTACGATCGTAACAAATGTGAGGTATCGCAATGGGTCAACGATAGTCGTACAAAGAGAACAATATGAAATATGAGGTACTAAATGGAATAAATGAAAAATTATAACGAAAAGTAAACAAAAAACACTTTTTAAGAAAAATTATATATATATATATATATATATATATATATATATACCATTTAAATAATCGACCCACCGGTTCGTTCGGTAATCCGTTGGCCCTTCGTTTGGTTTGTTTGCAAGCCAGTCCGGTTCTTATGATTGCGGTTCATTTTTTCGCGCCCTGCAACCGATTCATGGAGATGGGGACGGAGATGGAGAGACTGATGTCAATGGGGGAGACGGTGCCCCGTCCTCCTCCTTTTCGATCCCTCCATGCCTCTGCCATCGCCTGCTCGAGTTCCTCATCCTCCACGCCTCACTGGTATCTTCCCTCCCCCCGAACCCATTGCCTCTTTAGTTCCTCAAATCTCAATCGATCATGTTTTAGAAACCCTAACTCTAGTTTCGGAATCCCTGACAAAAGAAACTCCAAATCCCCTCACTCGTCAAGTACTCCGCGTTTCCCTTCTTCGCCGACGGATTTCTCCCGTCTCTTTGCTGGTATCCTTCGTTACCAAGACTGATAGTGTAGAACATAGGTTTATCAAAACCATATCTGACCATAACCAATGTGAATATATTGGATTGCAATCAAGAATGACAGCGCATTTCTTAGCCTTGTAAGATTGTTGGTGGGCCATCTAAATATATCTGATAGACTGGATCATCTAGGGGCAATCCATTGCCAAAATGGTATCAGCAGTACTGCCTCTTTCATCTTCTTTTGCTATCATCACTGTAGATCATATTTTCAAATATTGAATTGGCCCTGATAGAAACAGGCTCCAGCCATTTTTTTATTTAGGGCAACCACCAATGTAACAGTTATTTTTAGAAGCTGATAACTAATGTTACTGTATACTAGTAGTATCAGATATTTGTGCTAAAAAAGTCATCAAGTTACCACATTTTTACAGTGAATAGGTTATCTCTGTGCAACGTCTTCAACTCTTCATATATGGTCAACCCTAAGAGAGAAAAGGAATCAAAAGATTCATTGTGTATGTTCCCTTTGCTCTCTGGAGGAACTATATTCTGAAATGTGATTTTTGAATAACAAAGTAGATGGGATTATAATCTTCGGTGATGACCATTACCAAATATTGCAACTAACAAGGGGGTAACTTATTACAGCCAATACTAGGCAGGTTAAGATATCACATGGTAGAGAAGAATCCAGAATTTTATGCTAGTCATTCATGCTTATTTCAAATGTTTTTTGTTTTTTTGGAAACAGCATCGAGTGGTTATGATTTAGCAGGTACTGTAAACTGATAGCGTCTTCCATAACATTTTGTCTGTGATTTGTACCCCTCTACCAATTGAAGAGGTTTTTGTTTGAATCCTTGTGGACATATTGTCAAAAGGATTTGACCCATGTATTTCTTTAGGTGGAAGATTTTCCTTCCTGCTTTCACCAAAGAAGTCTATATGACTTGGCAATCAATATATTTTAAATTTCCAATATAACATAAGAAAATTACTGTTTACTTTTTTATCTATTAACTTTGTACTCAGCATGAATTAGCTCAGCAAATTAATATAGTCAAAGGGTTTAGCAGGCCAATTAACAATAATTATCTTCAATATTATGTGCCATCCTTATTCTCAGAGATCTTCCTGCAAGGCCATGTGTATGAAATTGTAGAAATCATGACATAATATCACGTTCACATTGAAAAGAATTTTGCAATTATGATCAATGTCACATGAGATTTAAAGCATTAGCTGCCATTTAAAATGCATAGTCACCTTGATGCAGTGAAGTTTGTTACCAACTACTCTGAAGAAGAGATATTACAAAGACTGTGACATGCATTCTTTTGCAAGTCTTGGAGAGCAGATCAAGGCAGCTATATGATTGCAAATCTCATTGCATGATGGCATCATAATTTGCCGTAACTTCCCTCTACAAGACGAGCAACAAGATTTTGGTAATTGTTACTGGGATCATCAGAAGTTTCAAGCATACTGATATGGCATATTTTGACCATAGATGAATCAACGGCAAACATCACCAATCGACAACCACGAACGCAATGCCACACGTCGCCAGACCCACGGGGCACATGCCACGTCAAGTTCGGCACTGTTACAATGTGCGACTTGACCAACCCAAGAGCTCGGGGCGGTGTCGTCTGCTTTTGGGACAGTGTCGTCTAACGCCGCTCAAGCACCCCCGAGGACGCCACCTCGTCAGAAGTTGTCCCGCCCCCACAAAGTCAGCGGCCACGCCGAACCGAGGGGCAACCAACTCTCGCACGCAGGTATAAAAACCCCCGTCCGATCTCGAGGAAAGAGGGGGGGAAAGGAGGGGAATCCAAACAAAATTGACTTGCTCGTTGGAGGGGTCAAAATTGGGAGATACCCGTCGATACCCGACGAAGGCCGTTTTGCAGGAAGGTGATTGCCACCAAGTAGCGGGCGTCTTCACCCCGAAGTCGTCATCCCGTGCGCAGAGGAGGGTGGACCAGCGGATCGGGTCCTAACCAACACCAGCCTGCACCTCCCATCTCAAGGGCGCGCCCACGAAGAAAGATTGCCAACTATCCCGGGGACGAAAGGACACATCTCGTCATAAACGACACTCAAGTCAGCTGGCCTTGGAGTGCTAACCCCCAGCCGCTCGCTAGGACTCAGCTGACCCGTCCGGATCAACTCCTCGCCTGAAGCGCTCGAGGAGCGTTGCCACCGCATCATCCTACTCATTCCACCAGAAGTTCCCGACGTCGACCTGCGGACCAAACCGTGCTGACTCATCAACCACGGTACTTTTGTTCATTAACACATACTATCTTAGTTCTGTATACAACTGGTATACTATTCTCATGGCACCTGCAAGAAGTATCCTTGTTTTACTTTTACTATATTTTGTGGCTGTTTATATAGAAGGCATCTGTTTTAGCGAACTTACAGATTACATGTCTATTTTAGCTATACACCATTTCTGACACTCGACTGGCATAATCATGTGATGGCAGGAGCTTAAACTATACCACAATGAGACTACTAAACTTCATCCTTGTAAACAGGTAGTCCATGTTTTATGGTACATAATCTCCCAATTAGAATTATGGCTTTCAATCAGTTGCATCGTTTAAGCTAAAATATTTCTCTAGCTCTGCTCTGCTGCTGTCAGTTGTGTCCTGCTTCTTTTTTCCTTTGCTAATGATCTTTAAGATTTTCATTTTTTTAAACTCAATGGTTGTCTCTCAAACTTAATATCTTTTTGATAACCAGCATTTTTCTGTCAGACTATCAGGAAAAAGAAAGTCAATCCACCTATCCTTATTTTCGGTCACGGAGTTGGATGGATGATTTGAACTGATCAAGCAACAACCTCATTAGAATATATCAAGGTCACAATCAATCATTCATGCTACTTGCTCATCTCTTTGGAATTGTCTGACTCACACGATGAGTCATGTCCATGGTATTAGTAGGCAAATTTTGACAGGGACAAGAATGAGGCCTCGCAACTACTAATCGGTTAAGAATTATCAATCAATGCACTTGTCAAGGATAAGGATGAGGCCTGTGCATTATCTTCTTCTTTTTCTTGTAAAATTTCACTTTTCTGAGTGTTTTTGGTGGCTGTTCCATGACAGCAACGAGGATGGGGCTTCCCAACTGATGATGCTTTGGGAACTATCAATCACTACCTTGACAAGGATAAGGATGAAACTTTCTCATCAATGATTGTATAGTCCATCAGAGCTTCCCTTGCTAACCTTGATTGAAGTTCTTCTGCCAGCCAACCTGAATGATTGGATCGGTTAATGAATCAAGAAATGCTGGTGCATGCAACGACCAATTTATGATGTAGCTTTTATTTTATGTCTAGATGCTTGCTAGGAGAAAAAAATAGTCATTATTTATGCTAGGTATAGAATCCCTCACAATTATCTTCAACTGTTCGGAGAATACTTTCATGGTTATTAGCAAATCAATTATTCTCCAAAAAAAAAACAGCTCAAACTGTAGAGCCCCCCCCAAGTACAGTCATTTAGTTGTGTTTTATTCCGTTTTCTATCATTTTGGGGTCCAAGCCTTGCCAATTCACTAATTTCTCTTTTTTCTCTTAGTTGTTCATAAGCCTTTTCATCTTTTAAGCCTTGTGTCCTCATGGCAAAAATGGCCTTCATTTCTCCTCTTTGGGTGTCTGTTTGAAGAGTTTACACAATTAAGCACCTACTAGCTGTATTAGCCACCCCTTTTGCCAATAAAAAAGAGAGGAGTGCCATAAAGAATGAGATGAAGTATCAGACTCTGTTATAGTTCCAACTGTAGCCTTCATGAATTAAAATGTTACATAAATTAGAATGTTTGTTAGGTGTGTGCAAAAACTTGAATGATGTAACCAAGATTAACTTGCTTGCTTATCAACACTTATTATCTGTCAGAAAGAATACTGTTCCCAGTGGACTATGGCAGATTGTTTGATGACCATGATTAGTGTGTTTCATCTAAAACACATACTGCACAACATGAGTTGTTCATCTGTACTTTTTTGTTCTACATTTTCAATCTAAGTTGGGATTTGAAGGCAGGGTACTTGATACCCTGAGTTAAAAGGCATTCATTCATTTAAATCTCACAATATGCTTGGTATAAATTTGTCCATGCTTTTTACCTAATGTGGCGACGCTTGTGATGCTACTTTTTTGTGATGGTTGTTGTATGGTTCATTGTTCCTTGTAATTTGGTGGCGAGTCACATCTTGCTTCTTCTTCTATTCCAACTACAGGTGTGCAACTGGATATTGAGGATGTGGAGGAAGCTAATGAGGACCCACCATCCATTTGTATCAGTATGCACTGAGGTCTTCTCCAGCACCACAACTGCTGCAGGTGATCCATGCCCATCACTGGTTGCTTGTGCTTTGATGTACGCCATCTTCTGGTTGACCACATTAGAATTCGCGCATAACCCTATAAACGACTTGCATTGATTTGGTGAAATGGCACGCTTTGAGAGGAACTTCCAATTGGAAGTACGTTGATATCAATAATTTATCCCACCGATTTGTATAATTGAATCTATAAAATATATGATAATGTATTATAATAAATTATTTATTTAATTTTTTTTAAAAAAAGGATAAATAGTAAATCGAGTTAAGGATTTTACGATAAACTGTTAAGATTCTTACCAGCTAAGTTGGTTGACACTTTCATTTGTTTTAATATTAATATTTTAGTGTACACCTTTATTTGTTTTAGTATTGGTATTTAGACGGATCGATAAAATATCAATTTTGATTGTATCATTTTAAAATATCAAAAATACTAATTTTCAAATGTAATCGTGCATTGTTTTTTTTAAGTCATCTTTTTTTTTAATATGTTGTAAATCAATGATAGGTTTTTTCTGATGCTAAACGTTGTTATAGCAAAAAATAATGAGTTTTAGCATTAGTTTTCTCTCTTTGTACCTTGTCTATGCATTGTCATGAACATTATAATGATTGAAACTGCCATTGTTTCAGAATGATGTTCCCATCTGCTAACTGGATTATACTTAACAAACCTATATATTTTAAGTGGGCAAAAGGGTGTGTCTCCATGCATGCAGAACTAAAGAGTAGGTCATGTAGAGTAGCTGTAACCAGAAGCTCATATACATATAAAACTTGGTTGCAGATGACTATTGAGACCAAAATGTGACAAATATATGGAGTTAGGGTCACCATAAGCCCAATCATTCAAAGCATACAACTCACAAGCTCATAAGGCCTTCTTGGTATTTGCTCAGCAGTTGACTTTAGGATGCTGCACCTCAACCTGCAACCAGAGTCCTCTAAAATAGGAACCCTTTCTTACACAGTACACCACCTAATTCTAATGTAAGCAGTTGTTTTTGTTGCCATCCATATTCCTAAATTGCTTTTCTCATGCCAGCAGCTGTGTCTGTTGTGCCACCCATGAGAGTGGATGACCCCAGAAAGATTCTCCTCTGTGCATTTAGCAGGAGGAGATCACACTGCATCAGCTCCTCCCTCAAATCCTTCAGGTGGGAGCATAAGCCACATCATTCACCCCTCTTTGGATTAAGCAAAGGAAAGCAACATTAGCCAGCAAACAAGTGATCTGAAAAGTACCACACAGATTCCAATAGTGCATTGCTTTGTCCATAGCACTGCATAATGCTTGAATTCTATATAAAAAAACTGATTTTTTTAATGGATTTACTTTCCCCAATCTTGAGTTCCATGGCTCTCAGCTTGTGATGTTTCGACGATGTGTGATTGTAGTATTCCAAGGAAGACAATGACTTGCCCTTCCTGCTTGTGCTTAAGAGACCCTCCGAGTCTCACATGCTTGCTTATGTGGTAGCTCTACTTCACAAAACCTAGAAAGGTGTCTTTTTTATCTCGAGTCTCCGGTCTCCATACTCTCCCCCTCCCCACCTGCCTCAGCTGGTCTTTCTTGCTTACTCTGTAGAGCTACATCTGCTGCTACTCCTACACACCTCTCCCATTCCTCCTCCCTGTCTTGATCTTTACCTGCTTCCCTACTAAAACCCCCCAAAACCCTCGTCTCAGATCTCTCCCACACCAAACCTCTGGGAGGGGGAAAAGAAGCAGCTTGCACGGCCTTCTTTGGCTTGTTTTACCTTCGTGTGGCCAAGAAAGAGGCGGAAAGCAGGGAGCTTTTTCTTGTCCTTGCCTCTGTTCTGTTGTCTCTCTTGTTTGCATCCTTTTCTGTGGAGAAAAGAAGGTGGGAAGTGGTGGAAATGGCAGGATTGGGGGTTCAGGCGGCGTTGCGGAGCAGCATCAGTCTGGAGACCACATGTGGTGCTTTGCTCCAAGAGCTTGAGGTTCGAATCTTTGGCTTTCTCAGTGCTAATGCTGCTCTTTCTTTCCCTTTCTTGGTTGGATTCCGAAGGTACTTCTGGGTTCCAATGTTACTATTCTGGGCGGATTCATCTCTGCAGGTGTATTTTCTGGTTCCGTGTTTCTTGATTTCCTTGCGTTTCAGGGGATACTGGGTCTATGGTTTCCTATTACTGGCCAACTTTGTCGATTTGCATATTTGTTTCGTAAAACTTATGGATTAGAGGAACCCTAATTTAGAAATTTAGGATTTTGGGGCTTGTTGTACACATTATGTCCTAATTTGCCTTCTAAGGTTTTTCAAATGAGAATGTATGGATACTTGTAGTGTTTGTTGGGAAATTTCAAATGCTTGGTTCAACTTATTGGATGTTCACTGTGTGCTAAGTTGTTGACTTTTGATTGGACACTGATAAGGCCATGAATCTTTGTACTGTGAACTTGTGAGAACAGCACATATGGACAGAGATTGGAGAGAGCGACGAGGAGAAAGACCACATGCTATCGGAGTTGGAAAAAGAGTGCATGCTAGTGTACCGGAGGAAGGTTGACGAAGCCAGGAGTGCCAGGGCACGCCTCCATCAATCTTTGGTTGCCAAAGAAGCGGAGCTTGCATCTCTCATGGCGGTACTTGGTGAGCAGAGCCTCCAGCTAAAGGTACTAGCCCTTTTCTGCTCCTTGTTCTTTTTGTCACTGGGGTATTAAAGGGGTTCTATTTGCTGGTTACTGCCCTTTGGTTGCAATTCTATATGTTGGTTTTTATTAGCAGTTCACAATTAACTGATTACACCAAGCTGCATTAGCTCACCATCTTGCTATCAACTCAACCGAATCTTAGTCTTGTTTTGGCTCAATGACGTAATAATTTACCCTGGCATAGACAGGGGTAGTTTACAGGAATTTGCTATAAACTTAACTAGGGGATTCTGAGCAGCTTATGTCAGGCAAGCTAGAAACAGCATTGCCGCACAATAGTTCACTCCCTGCTGTAATGGTTTGTCCAGTAAACTATGTCTTTGTCTTCCCTTTTTAAAGGAAGAATCTGCAAAGGCAGTAGTTCATTATGGTTTAGACGTAGCTCAGACATCACAAAGTGTTTTGCTGGAATTAGATATGAACTCGAGCCGTATGGAATTCGTAAGTAGTTTGCATCAGGTGAGGTGAAGCTACATTAGTTTTCCTTCCATTTGTTGCTTATGTAGATATACATATTGGATGTCCCTTCTAATTGTGCCATTGTGGAATCGGATATGATTCTGTTGCATTTTTATGACATTGATTTGGTAGTCATCCACCAAATCAATTTTGATATGTGATTTCATATTTCTTTCAAGAAAACCATTTAGTTAATATATTTATGATTTTAGGGAATGCTTTGTAAGATCTTACTGACATTCTCAGCAAGATTTGGTAATTTAGTTGGTTGTTCATTCATTTTCTTCCCAAACTTCATTCGTCACATAATGGTTACCGGTATAGTCATGGATTCTGTTGTTCATTAGACTAAAGGCAAGTGTTTTTGCTTGTCAATGTGAGAGCACATTGCTGCTCTGAATTTCTTTTAGTACAGTTATGGGATACATTTTTTACAGCTGTTGACTTCTTACCAATATTCTGTATACAGATGGAGAAATCTAGATCATTGAAGGAAAGACTTGCTTCAGTTACCCCTCTTTTGGAAGATCTCAGGATGAAGAAAGAGGAACGAGTCAAGCAGTTCTCTGATATACTGTCTCAGATTGAAAAGCTCAATGCAGATATTACAGGATTTAGTCACCAGTATGACTCTCTAACTATCGGTGTCAAGATTGAAGAACATGATTTGTCAACAAGGAAACTCACCGAGTATCAAGCAAAGCTACGAAGTCTCCAGAAGGAGAAGGTATTAGTTTGGTTATTCATCAGATTAAAGTTTTCAAGTTATTTCAACTGAACTTAACTCTATTCTTAATACTTAACTCTATTCTTAATGTAGTTAGGTGAAATTCAACACCTGGCCATGCTAAGAATCCCCTTTCTTTAATGCTCTACTTGACACATCTGCTTTTGTTCATCTTTCAAACATATAAATGCAAATTAGAGGCTCAGAGTCAACGAAGTTACATAATTGCCAATCCTCCTATACATGTAGAAAGGAGATGATGTAGAAGGTTTTAATTATCAGTCCAGTATCAGTTTCAACAGACTATTAGAGTGATACAGAGGATGACTATGACAATATACAAACCTAGATGGGTCTACTGCTATTAAATTAGACTTATCAAGTTAATGTATCAGTTTTCCCACCAAGTCAGATTTTGGCCAAATAGTCTTAAGAGTGACCTAGTATTGGAGTATAGTGAGGGACTCAAATTAGAATGAGCTACCTGTGGATGAGGTTGGGCCCATATCATGGCATGGAGTCATCACTAGGCTGAGCCTCACCATTTGAAATTGGACTTAGACTATGAGTTTGGTCGTGAGCTTTGATACGGACATCAAGCCATAAATGAGGGACATTGTGATACCTCAGTTTGATCCCACATTAGAAGTAGGAGGACGGTTATGAAGGCAGATAAGGATTAATGGGTTATTATAATTTATTATGGTTCTAAGCAATTTGGGCCTTGGAATTTCAGGTTTGTCAAGTTAATGGGTTAATTCTCACAATAGGCCTTATCATGATAATAAAATATATCTCACTTCCAATATGAGATTAAACAATGGTGTCACACCAAACAGTATACCAAACTATACCATTTGGTATCACTGAAAAGATAATACAAAAGGACAATGAACATACTGTGATTGGTTGATGTTTGGTTGGAGCAATAATTGTTGATTAGCACATATATTCCAATCAGCATTTTAGACCATGGATGTATCAAAGAATAGCAAGGTTGTGGACAATTACAAGTGCTCCAACATAAGCATACAAAAGTGTTCCATTAATTATGTAAATTATGAGAGATCTTATTTCGATTAAATTTTCTACTTTAATAGTTTGGTTTTACTTTTGCTCTTAGTTTTTAATTATAACTTGTTAAGTTTTTAATTTTGACTTCCCAAACATTTAAAATTTCAAATTACAGAAAGATGATGGGTTAAGCTATAGCAGTTTTTGCCAATAATGTTAATTATTAATGGAGTGTTTGGATGCATATTGGGTAAATTATTGATATAAATTAAGAATAACATTGATGGACTGCCACTTGTTTGTAAAATAGAAAATTTTCTTTATTTTTATCCAAACATAATATTGCAAAATACACGTTGATAACACTAATATGATCTTTTATCATATGAAGGCATTTAGATTATATTTAGGCACATGTCAAAGCAAACCACGAACATACTAATGTTAGTGTCCTCAGTAATGATCTTTAGCTGATCTGTTTGGCAGTCTTTATTAATATCTTCGTATCAATTTTTGTCCAATAGTGTTCTATTTTCTTAGTGTGACACTGCTTACTCTCAGCTATATTCAGAAATCTGAGAGTATATTCATAACTTTGGCTACTTTGTCAACCATTTTTTCCCATATGTTTATTTAATAATTCATGTTTAGTTAGCATTATAATACTTAAAATACTATGTTTTTGATGTACCATTGCATGCACATTTACAAAGAGCTAAATATTGGGATTCTGTGGAGTAATTTTAGTAGTCTCATTTTTGAACTATGAGATTAGAGGTGTTTCTTGAATTAGTAGACGACATATGAGACTTTTCAAAGCAAGCAACAATGCTAGACACATGACTATTTTTCAGTTCATGCATGTTTGCTATGATGCATGTAGTATTATCTCAGCAAATTTTCAATTGCACTATCGTGATGCTGACCACATGACTGATTCTTCCAGTCTGATAGGCTTCATAAAGTTTTGGAACATGTAAATGAGGTGCATTCTTTATGTGGTATGCTTGGAATGGACTTCAGGAAGATAGTGGAAGAAGTACACCCCAGTCTGCATGAGACTTGTGCAGAGCAGTCCACCAATATTAGTGATGCCACACTGGAGGGCCTATCTCAAGTCATCCTAAGACTTAAGACTGAAAAGAAGATACGAACTCAAAAGGTAAGTAGCATCTTGAAATCTTAATTATATATAACCATTGTCATATGTCTATAGTCCATTGTGGGCTGCAGCTGCGAGATGCCGTTGAATCACTTAAAAATCTATGGGATTTGATGGATTCATCGGAAGAAGAGAGGAGGCCTTTTGAAAAAGTGGCGACTGTGCTTGGATCCTCTGAAGTTGATGTCATGTGTTCTGGTGTATTCTCACTTGAAACAATCAAGCAGGTTAACATTTGGATTGACATTTCTATGCACTACTGTCTTGAGAAGTTGTTGAGGTCATCATTTTTTTGACAGATAGAAACTGAAGTTGAGAGGCTTAAAAAACTGAAAGTTGGTAGAATGAAAGAACTTGTTTTAAGGAAAAGGTCAGAACTAGAAGAGATATGCAAAAACACACACATTGAACCAGATATGAGTACTGCACCAGAGAAGGCCTGCGCACTTCTAGATTCTTGTATGAACATGCTTCTTCACATCTTTTGCCATACTCAGTGTAGTTATAGGTGTTTGCTTCTCCAACTCCCAGACTTCAATTACGCTTTTATCTGTTTAGGCCTTGTTGATCCTTCTGGACTTCTCACGAACATTGAGACACAGATCAGAAAAGCTAAAGAAGATTCTGTGATGAGGAAAGAAATTATAGACAGAGTGAACAAATGGCTCTTGGCATGTGAAGAAGAAAATTGGCTTGAAGATTATGACAAGGTAGGAAATTCTTCTTCTCCACCATATTAGTGTCTGAAACAATAGGGGAAAATGTCATGATAATATAACACACCTGTCCTCTTCATAACCGTCCTTATACTTTTGCTGGCTGCAGGACGTGAACAAGTATAGTGCCGGAAGAGGTGCCCACTTCAATCTAAAACGTGCAGAGAAGGCAAGGGTGACTGTCAGTAAAATTCCAGGTATTTTTGTTGGTTTAATTACAGTATACCTGAGCCATATATATATATATATATATATATATATATATATATATATATATCATGAATTAACCATTGTAAATTCTACAAAATATTTTGCAGCTACTGTTGACAATTTGACGAGCAAAATATTTATTTGGGAGGATGAGAAAAATATGCCTTTCCTATATGATGGGGTGAGACATGTGTCTTTTCCTCTTTCGTTAACATATGAAATGTTTCCTCAAGTTCTGAGTATTGTTTGCTACTGCTTGTTCCAGGTGCGCTTGGTGTCCGTTCTAGAAGACTACAAACTTAAGAGACAACAAAAGGAAGAGGAAAAACGAAGATACAGGGTAAATTTTGGTTTTTTATCACCAATGACCCCTTTTTTTTATTAGTTCTACATGCAAATTATTATATTCATTATTGCAGGAACACAAAAAATTACAAAATCTTCTCCTCACTGAGAAGGAAGCAGTTTATGGATCCAAACCTACTCCAAAACGGAGCAATAGTTTCAACAGAAAGACAAATGCTTATCATGCAAACGGGAATGGCAACGGCTTCATGACTCCTTCACCGCGACGAATTTCCGTTGGCAGTGCAACTCCTGAGCTGCTCACGCCACGCTCGTACTCTGGCCGTTATAATAGCTACTTCAAGGAGACAAGACGGTTGTCCGCTGCTCCACTGAATTTTGTTGCTGTATCCAAGGAGGATACTATATCTTCATTCACATCCATCGCAGGTTCAGAAGTTGGTTCTCCACCTCTCAGATAGCTGCAGGTCTGAACCGATTAACATCATAATGAAGTAATTATTTGAACTGTCTGGATCTGATCTGGACAACATTATGCCGGCCACCTGTCTATCAATTTCCACTAACATCAGTTTCTATTTTCTTTGCAGGAGGGAATATGCATCAGCTTTTGACTCTACTTTCCCAAAACTGGTGCTTGTAACAATGATTACATTTGTGCTAAAATGTCTTCATTTGTGTCCTCGTACATTAGGATTAATATGTTGAGATGTAGTGCCCTGTGTAAAATTTACTAACTAGGATGGGGATCTAGCAACTAACTTGCCGGCTCTGATAGGCCTCTCATTTGTGGTTACTCCATCTTTGCTTAGAGAACTCTCATATGTACATATAGTGTAGAATGAACATCCAGAATACTGTGTTTCCGATTTGGGATGGAGTTTTATTTCGTCATGTGTATGCTTCTGAACAACATCTAAGTGCATCGGATCCATTAGGGAAGGAATCTGACAGCATGTAATAGACACAAACTCGTGGAACTGATGCTGTACTCTTTTGTCAGTGGTTTATGATGGTTGTCATGGATTTGAAGTGGACCTGTGCTTGCATGTTCATTAATGCTGTTCTTATCAGATGGTGGTATGGAACAGCTCAAGATCATTATCAACATGGACAAGATCAGATCTTCTACCTTTGAACAGCTTGTAAACCTATGTGCTTGTGAATTTGTCACTATCAGGATGTGTCATCAAATTTGCACTGTGCTAATCAAACAACTTGCACACTGAACCATACTGTTCAATGAGAAACTTGAGACCTCAGCAGGATACTGCAGCAATAGCTGGCTCTTAATTGGTAGAGGGACCAGAACACAATAAAGGCTGCCACAGTTCGTCACTAATGGATTTAACAGAGAGGTAGAAATGCTCACTAGAACTGATCTGATGCAGAGTTGGGAGGATGATTCTAACCATGTAGCAGCAACAGACTACTTCAAAGTAAATGCTCATTGATGGATGTTCAAGGACAGAAGTCAATGCCCGAACCATGACCACACTTTGCTACATGAAGAGAGGAAAGAATTGGATCCAAGTGAGGAGAAGAGAAGCAAAGCAAAGCAAAGCTACAAGAAGAAGTTAATGACAGCAGCAGAGGAGAGGCAGACATGGTGCGTTCTTGACTTCCTTCATTAAGTACTTATAAATGTAGAGCCTGACTGATCCCTGTGAAGCAAAAAAAATTGGGCTGTCCTGAGACTCGCACCACCACCACCTCCACCACCACCACCAGCAGCAGCAGCACCACCACCACCACCACCACCAGGGGAGCATTCATGGCGAGCCAACCAACAAAAGAAGACCCACTTCAATCCCCATCTTGAATGCCACATCAAAAGCCTCGAGAGTCCATCAGACCCCAGGCAGTTCAAGGAAGGTGGTGGTGGTCGGAAGAGAAGCACAGACTTTTAATTCTCTTCGGAGCGTCGTCAGACGTCGGGACAGCTCAAGGCAGCCTTTATTTGCTGAACTGTGGTGCCGATCAAGTTATTGACCGTCATTACCGACTCCAAGTTGAGCTTCGCCGACGGCAAGCTACTCATTAGTATCTGAAACGCCACGGTCACCAGCGAGCCGGCGGAGCCACCCATCGGATTCGAGCTGGACGACGCGCCGTAGCCCCCAGCCGATCGCCCATCCGGTAATATGGTGAAGCCTGACGGCAGAATCGGTACGTAGGACGGATCCTCTCCGCTCATGACGATGTTGATGGCCGGCAGGTCGACCGGCGAATAGACCACAACCGAGCCCGAAGCATCAGTGCAGCACTCTTGGAGTATCAGCATCGTGTTCTGCCCAGAATTGAGTCCCTGTTCATCCACCACAGTAAATAGACCATCAAGAACTTCTGACAGAGGTTGGCACCCAAATTAAATTCATCTACACTTGAATAAAGACGAGAAAGAATGCATACACGAAGAAGAGAAATGCAGTTTCCCGGATGTGAACCATTCGTGATATGAGCCACCTCTTGTACAGTGTTTCCGTTCGAGAGAACATCCCACTGAGAACAAGAAGAAGACGCAGAGAGTTAAAAAGTGTCCTTCGATCGAGAAAGATAGAACAGCAAAGAAGGATGTCTGCAGAAACCTGAGTTCGAGTTCGTTCATCCTTGAAGAAACTAAAGATCCTCTCAGCTGATATAGGAAGCCATATAGAGGTTGCTGCGCTGAGAACCACTCCATTAGGCTGGCCGGCATCTGTGTTCTTGTGAAGCGTAACTCTGACTCCGACATCGTTTACCCCCGAGAGTGTAGTCCATTTGTGACCATTCGATGCGCCGACGTTGGCACAGAAGTTGGTCACCATCCTCTGAGCAAGCTTCATCATGCTCCTCTTGCCATCGGGAGAGGGAGCCACTGATTTCCACAGTCGGAATCAGAATCAAATAGCAATCTTAGCTATCTGCTGTGCGGATTCTGAACGCTCCTTACCTCCGATGTCTCTAGCTGGAATTCCGGCGACGTTCAAACAAGCAAACCTCTCACACATTCTCTGGAGAGTCGCGAGCCAGCGCTGTGCTCCGAATGCCATTCCACCGTCTATAAGATCCCTGAAGAGCGCGTGAATCGGATTCTTTTCTTCGATCTCCATGTGTTCGACCCAGGTTACCTACATCGACAATTCGGTAAGGGCGAGAAAGAAATCAGTAGATCATGCACCATGATTTGGATCACCTTAGAATAGCCATTGGGCATTTCCTCGATCAAGCAGCCAGAAGGAAGCCTCCTTGATCGGGAAGAAGGTGCGAGCTGGTTATCTCCGGGAAAGTCCACCGAAACATCAGCCACCGCCCACACGCTGGGCTCTATTTGCTGGCAATACCGCAGGAAGCAGAAATCGCGAGTAGGAACGACCGGCGAAAGAACCTGTAGCTCCTCGTACATCTGCACGCCCTTTGGATGTATCAGTATCGCAGAGGAAGTTTATTGGATTCAAGCAGAAGAGCTGAAGAACTGTCGTTACCAACACCAAAGATCCACTTCTACTTCCAGCCATTCCAGCCGCCAGGACTTCGACAGTCCTTGCCTTGGACACGATCGTCGGGAACAGCTCTCCCCACTTGCTCTGCAACGAAATCCAATTCAGAGGTAGAAGATCAAAGGAGAACTCGTTTCCTTTCAACGAGATTGGAACTTACTGCGTCCATGAACATGTCGACCAATGTCACAGCATTCATGACCACAAGAGCTGAATCCCTCGATGCCTCGACTCGAGTATCTGAGAACCTGAGCTGCCGAGCTGACCTTTGGAACATCCTGTCGTAGGTTTCGAGTTGGAGTATGTCCCTTCCATCGCTGCCCGACTTCACCCACAGGGGTTCATCGGTCTGCACCACTCTGATGACTTCCTCCATTGCACCGGTGGCCATCTCGACCATGAGAGGCTTGTCAAGCTCCGACATTGATGCTGGAAACGGATACGGAAATGCCGAAGACGAGCTCTGGCACAGGAGATCGAGATCGAGGGAAGGGCTTATCCCCGGATGACTGTATCCTCCAACCGATAAGTCTAGCGATGAGATCGACATTGGCTGAACTGGAGGAAGCTGCGTGATGGGCCTTCCCAGGTACTTCGATGCAAGACTCGAAACGCGATCGAGCTGCAAGGATTCATTGGCATGGATCAAAGACAACAGTATCACATTAAATGAGTGTGTTGAAGTATGTTTGTTTGATCCTCCACCATCAAAATGGATTAATGAACTCATCGGCTGACATCCTTCAAAAGCCAAAGAAATAGAACGAGGACAGCTCTTTTTGATCCAATTCATTGAAAGATGGGATGACTGACCAAACTATCAATGAAAAAAGATGGATTTTCCATTGTTTCGTTGAAGCTATCGCAACTATACGACGAATGCACGTGTAGGATCGAAAAGGAAGGGAGGTGGAGGTTACCTCCTCCTTCAACTTGGCATTCTCCATCCGCAGATTCTGCTCGTCGAAGTAGGGGTCGTCATCGGGGGGAGGACCGCCGCAGGAGGGGCAGATGACGTTCCTGAGGGCCTCCCTCATCGCGATGTTCTCGCACCGGATCTTGTCGTTCTCAGCGCGGAGCAAGCAGTTGTCCGCCCGCTCTTGTTGCGCCTGCAAAGACAGCGGGAGGGTCGATCAAACGAGGCAAAGGTCGCTCCTTTTGCTCGCACGCGAGGCGTGACGAGGGAGGGAAGAGGACGACGGGGAGCAGAGCGGTCGCCTTCATTTGCGTCCGGCGGTTCTGGAACCAGAACTTGATCTGCCGCGGCTCCAGCCCCAGATCGCGGCTCAGCTGCTTCCTCTGCTTCTCGTCCGGGTGCGGGCAGACCTTGAACATCCTAAACAACAAACTCAGACAAGGCCCATCGTCGCGCCGCCACGGAACAACCCCACGACGCAAGAGAACAACACCATGACGTCGTCAGACACAGTAAAGACAACGCGAGAGATAGGAGAAGAAGAAAGAGACGAGAGCATACGACTCCAGTTCTTGAATCTGCCGCGGGGTATGCCGGTGGTACCGCTTCTTCCTCCCTTGTGAGTCCGGAACGTCCTGTTCGTCGCCGGAGTCCATCCTCGCCACCTCCGAAACTCCTCCTCACCGCTCCTATCACGACCAGCACCCACAACAATCTGCTACAGAAGCCAGCCAGTCCTCACCATCTATTTCCGAAACTTGGCGACGCTATCCCCCTACCTTTGGTCCTCAAAGGTGGCACCTTTTTCCCTCTACGGGGCTCCTCTCCTTGCGGCGCTTAAGCGAGAGCCAATTGAGGAAACCGGCGGTGCGCGCATCGCAGATATCGCCAGCAATCTGGGCGAATTCGCCCCCTCCCCTTATTAAGACGCACCGAGAGATTCTACCACCGAGAAACTCTCTCTGCGTATGTGTGTGTATTTAAAGCTCACAGTAATTGACGCGATTTAGAAGGACGGGGCTTTAAAGATGTTGGATCTTGAAGGCATACTATATCATCTCCATATATTTATTATCAGCAGATTGCAAGAATATACATCTGATTCTTTTGTTATATGCTTCTCCAAATGCCAGTTTTCTGGTTCCGATTTATCATCATCTGGTATTGTTTCTTCTTCCTATTTTCCAATGCACTTTCTAAAGCAAAAAAAAACAAGTTTTGGCAGAAACATACAACAAAAGGTTCGATTTTGATTATGATTTTGGTCTGGTTATTCTAGTGGAACAGTACATCTTCAAGAATTAAAGGCAGGACAGCAGAGCAGAGACACAGACAAGAGGAAAGAAGCATGAGGAACGGTGAGCTTCCTAATCTGCCAGCTCTCACCCCTTCCCTTCTCTCTCACGTCTGCTGTTACAATTCTCCGACTTGGAAAATGCTGATTACACACCAACACCGCACATATAATTGCTGATAAGGAGAGCGTAGGAACACAGTCT